ACCAGTTCGCATGCAAAATTGGCATTACAAGCATAATTGCCGGTCGACAACGGTCGGTGTCATGTATGAAGCTGGCTAGGTCCAGTTCCGAAAATCGTGCATCTGAACCCATCCGGCTTCGTCCTGACGTTGCAAATCAACCTTCTCAGTGGATTGCTTCAGACAACATGCTCACTGCTGCTTCTACGCTTTGGCCTTGATCCAAGACGGCCTTCTTAAATCGACTTTTCCAACTTTCAAACTGGCATTATGGAGAAGTGTGAGCATTATAAGTGGCATTATATCCTCATAATTATTATGAGCATAGGGCTTGAAAGTGCTACGTCACAGCATAGCAACAATTTCAAAAATTCAAAAATTGGATCCACTTGGATCCAGTTTTTGTATGGATCCAAGCACATTTCAAGCCGTCTTACTCACAGCAAGGTGATGTAACCAGTGAAACTGACTGATTTGGCTACTGGGGGCGGGGTTACAACTGGTGGCGAAGTAAAAGTCACCCCTGCATACGACATGAGTGGGTTGCTATGCACCCACATACTGAGGCAATAGCAAAGTCACACCTTAGTGGATCCAAAATAGAAATCTGATGTCAACTTAGTACTCCCTGGCCGTTTTTGACGTCATCACTTTCAAGCCCTATTGCCTTTAGCATTATCGCAGCAAATAACTAGCATTACCCGCCCATGCCTATTTTCGAGCAGTATCCGCCAAGGCCTACCGGTACCTCATGGGTCTTGGGTACCGGGTACTGGTATACTGCACGTAGATCTACAGCGCTGGCAACTGAAATCCGATCCCCTGAGCGATGGGTTCACATTCTAGCGATCTCTGTTTCGTAGTTTTACCATCCCGTGTTGGGTCTTTGCGATGTGAGCGCACCGATCAGGGGTCGGATTTCAGTTGCCAGCACTGTACAGGTGGAATCCTGATACTTCGAACCTCAAAATGCCAGGAAAAAACTTCTACTTATCCGGACATTCTAATTATCCAAACATGAACCCACAACTCAATATGTATGTCAAAATGCTCTCATGGTCACGCAGAGTTGCGCTATGGACCTTAGACACAAATTTTACGGACACTGAACTGACCGGCACAGCCTGCTCGTGCAAACTGAACTGACCAGTACAGTGTACAGTGAACTTCGAATTACACTTTGCTAACTTCGAATTATCAGCACAAATCCCACACATTTTCTATGTAAGTGGAATCTGTGGGACTTCTAATTAGCCGGACATGTCCAGTTCGAGGTTCGAATTAGGCCAAAACAAATAATGACCTTGTTTCCGGTCGCCCGACCGGGCCACTTTTTCCCAAATTCTGAAACTTTTTTTTGGTCCCAAATGTATACAAACGGTGGCAATGCCATGTGTGCAAGTGCACTCAACGAGTCATAACTCAGTCAAATCTCAACCGAATTCCACAATCGAAACACCTACAAGGTAGCAGAGATTCTCAGCTGTCGGCTCGAAAACCTCCGGGGTCGATACGAGCTAGAATAACGGAGCTGGAAGGACTCGAACTGTTTGCTTGATTTCTCAGGATGTACGAAAACAGAAATACACCACATGCTGTACAAGAACAGTGAGTCAGTCACTTTGACATTGATCCTTGCCATGATATATGTACAATGTACATGTGTAGGTGCTCTTGTCCATCAATACCACAACGATTGAGGAACCAAAAAAAGTATCCAAAAAAAGTTTCATTCCGGCCGACCGAGTCTCCTTTTTGAGGGGTTGCCGACCGGAAACAAGCCTATTTTTTGTTTTGGCCTTATCAGAATTTTTTATGTGGGAATCGTATTGAAAGAAATCGGTCCTGGAAAAACTTTGCTCTCTCGCTCTCTCGCTCTCTCGCTCTCTCGCTCTCTCGCTCTCTCGCTCTCTCGCTCTCTCGCTCTCTCGCTCTCTCGCTCTCTCGCTCTCTCTCGCTCTCTAGCTCTCTCGCGCTCTCGCGCTCTCTCTCTCTCTCTCTCTCTCTCTCTCTCTCTCTCTAGCTACTAATGCAATCTATTACATTGGTAGCAGAGGATGGTTTCTGTCCTGGAGCTCTGTGCCTTCGCGTTGGCATTCATCTCGGGATGTGTGCTCACTTGGAAGATAGCAAGTCGTCTCCACCGAGCTGCTTGGCAACCCAAGGAGAGGATTCCAGAAATAAGGCTTCGCCATCGGGATCCTCCTCCGTACACTGGCAAGCCGTCGGAATTCAAGGAGTGGCTATTTGCGGTGGAAGAAGCGCTAAGAAGCCAGCAGCCTGCCGATCCAGTGGGATATGTGGCAGCGTTCCTGGATTGCAGCGCCCGCCGTTGGCTGATGACATTGTGGGAGGAAGACGGTAGATCAACGACTTGGAAACAGTTGAAACTGCAGCTCAAGGGCGCATTTGAAAAGAAACATAAAGAGGAGAGGATAAACTTTTCTAAGCACTCGCAGACTCCATTGCAGCCACTCACACAGTACAGGGTACCTCACTTCAAACTCTCCAGCTACGGTCTCTTCGCTGCATAAGTTCACTTCACTTCCAAAAAAAAATAATAATACCACCAACGCATCAATTCTCGCCAAACAGTCGTCCCTTGTGAATCGTCGTATACGTGAAGCAATGTTCATTCGTGATAGTCGTCCAAGATCGTGGCTGGAGACTGCTGGACACAGTGTGAAATAATTTAATTTAATTATGTGTTAGATGTTGGTGTTATAAATTGTGGTAGACCATGGTAGACTGTGATGTTGCGAATATATGGCACGATAATATTTGATGTTTATGTGTGCTAGCTGGTTATATTATAGTGCTTAGCAAATATTTGTATTTGTCGTCATCTTTGTCTTCACACCCATGGATCCAGCTACATTGCATACTATTCTCCATGTCGCACTAACACATATTCACACTTACAGACACAGCTCTCCACTTGTCTCCTTCGCTCCTTCCCTTTCTACCAACACACTTCACCATTGCTGCTGGTAACCACACTTCTCGTGCCTTCCCTTCCTTTCTCCCGACAGCTTTCACCATTGCTGCTACCCTCCACACATACAAACATTTCCAGCACTACCGCACCACACAGCATATCTACTATACTCGTTTCAGTTTTTGTTGGCTTTAGTTGAATGGTTTTCACCCTGAAGATGGGCCATGCCCGAAAATTTGGTGCATTCCATTTATACATGTATCTAATAATTATAATTAATTTTCTTTTTGGAAGTGAACTGAACTTATGCAGCGAAGAGACCGTAGTTGGAGAGTTTGAAGTGAGGTACCCTGTAAGAGGAGAGGAGACGGATAAAAGTACGAGCACGGCAAACAGGTAGCTTGGAAGACCATGAAGACTACATTGCGGAGTATCTCGCTTTGTCTGTCGGCCTCTGGACTGGATGAGCTGACCAAGCCAAGGCATTACTTTTCACGGAGGGCCTGGCTGACCCGCTTGCGCTTGTTCAAAAGGAGGTGAGGCAGCACCACCCGGAGAGACCTTGGTTGACGCAGTGCGGCACGCGCGCACTGTATGTGATTTTCCCAGTGGTCTGCGTGGAAAGTGCCCGCCCCGGGTCCTGAACGTTCCTGAGGACTACGAACTGCACGGATCTACGCAGCGAGAAGGCACGCAACCGGCGCTGCGTCGGTTTCACTTACCTCCTGCAGAGCGAATGCGTTTGGTACGGGAAAATCGAAGCCTCCGTTGCAAGGAAGTAAGTTGGTCATAGCACGTGGACGGCTTCACCATGTTCACCCAAAACGCCGGCCGCCAGCGACCATAGCCTAGGAGCACGACCGCTGGCGGAGCTTGGAGTGCTCGAAGTGGAGAAGTCTGAAGCCTGGTCCGGTCATGAACATGATCTCCTCGATCGTTATACCCGAAGCGCGCATCGGAGGACATTCAGCGAGGTGCCTTCTGGTGCGACGCACAATTTCGCTTCAGAACGGACCGGTGGATAGCTGAAGCTTGTATTACCACGTCTGAGAGCGAGAATCAAATCTCGCTGACCATGGCTGATGCCGGGCGAAGACAGCTGCTCAGTGAAACTGTGACGCCAAGGCTTCGATTGGAAATCGGAGACCACGAATCCTGGGAGCAGCTGACAGTTATACCCTTGGAGGGATACGACGTAGTACTGGGCAAGCCGTAGCTGTCTCGTACTAACCCGCAAGTGGACTTCGCCAACAACCGTGTCACGCTGTCCGATCGGGAGAGAGGTCGTGATGTGACAGTGACATGCGTGTCTGACAAACCCGACAAACCCCGGCCCCTCAGCGGAGACGGATGAAGCCTACCCCGCGGAATTCATGAGTATCAAACAGGCTCGGAAAGCACTGAAGAAGGGAGCGGAATGTGTAATTGTGAAGATTGAAAGGGCCGGCGGCGAAGGTGACAATAAGGAAATGAAAACAGGGGCGTCGGAAGGTATTTTAGTGTGGTACGGTCAGCCATCTGAAGTACAATTTACTCGTGGGGGAGTGGTGGCTGAGCCGAAAATTTTGGAATTTTAGATCCCAGATCGGTGTATTTGGTTGATTCACGGGGTATCTGGGGCAAAAAGTGGTACGGTCAATACCGTAGTGACCGTACCGTGTGCGACGCCCCTGGAAAATAATGGTGGACAACGAGCAGCGTGCCGAACTCGAGCAGATTCTCAACACGCACGGCACCTGTTTTCCGCAGGAACTACCAATGGACCTGCCGCCGAGTCGAAGAACCGATCACGAAATTGATGTGGATCCTGATGCCAAGCCACCCTCCCGACCTCCGTACCGTCTCTCACAGCCAGAACTCGAAGAACTGCAGAAACAGCTCGAGAAACTGCTCAAGCACGGTTTCATCGAACCCAGCAGATCACCGTATGGAGCACCCTTCTTCTTTGTTAAGAAGGCTGACAGTTCGCTGCGCCTGGTGTGCAACTGGAGACCTCTGAACAACATTACCGTGAAGATGCAAGCCTGTCTGCCATCTCTTTGATACCATACGTGGAGCAAAATATTTTTCAAAGCTGGACCTAATGTCGGGTTATCACCAAGTCAGAGTTAGAGAACAAGATATACCAAAGACCGCAATCAACACCCCGTTCGGCCAATACCAATTCCGTGTGATGGGGTTCGGCTTGACAAATGCACCAGCAACTTTCATTGGCCTGATGAACAATGTCCTCCGTCCATTCCTACGGAACTGCGTCGTAGTCTTCCTGGACGGCATTCTTGTGTTCAGCAGGACATGGACCGAGCATCTAAAGCATCTCGACAGTGTCCTGTCCGCACTGGAAGAAGCTCAACTGTATTGCAAGCGTGCCAAGTGCGAATTTGTAGCTCCGTCCATGAAGTTCCTTGGACACATCATCTCTAGAGAGACAATCGGTCCTGATCCGGAGAAGCTGCAAGCTGTTGACGCGTGCTCACCACCACAGTCAGTTTCTGAAATCCGTCGATTCCTGGGTTTCGCCAACTATTTCAGGCGATTCATTAAGGAATATGCATCAATTGCACGGCCTTTGGAAACACTTACTTCAAAATACTGGAAAGCATTCCCGTTTTGTATGGAGCTCAGCACAGCAGAATGCTTTTGACATGCTGAAGCAAGCACTTGTATCTGCACCAGTTCTGCATTTTACTGATGTTGCACAACCGTTCAGTGTGGTGACGGATGCTAGCCATACAGCCATTGGTGATGTCTTACTTCAACAGGAAGATGGTGATTGGCTCCCAGTCGCCTACACCAGCAGACGACTACGCCCAGAAGAAGTAAACTACACAGCAATGGAAAGAGAAACGCTAGCTGTCGTCCACGCTTTGAGAGTATGGAAGCTGTATCTATTTGAACGGCTTGAAGTTATCACAGACAACCAAGGTGTGAAATATCTAGGCACCAAGACCAATGTGTCTAAAAGGGAAGCTAGGTGGATTGACTTCCTGGCAGACTTCAATTTCAGCATTGTCCACCGATCCGGCAAGGAGAACATCGCAGATGCATTGTCCCGGTCTATTGCCAGCGTCGAGGTAACCGTACGGCAAGAACAACAGTTCCAATATCTGTTAGTAAACGGCTACGCAGCCGATAAGTTCTGCTGCACTAGGATCACCGGATTGAATGATCAGGACGAGCAGCTGCAGCAGCGTTACCACTGGGATGCCTCCAGCAAGCAGCTCTACTTGAAGCATGACCCTGAGTGGAGGCTTTGCATGCCGGCTGGACCACTGCGGAGAAAGTTGCTCAACCTATGTCATGACAGCGTGTCAGCGGGACACCCAAGGCGTGACCGAACGTATGCGAAACTTGCTCGGAGGTACTATTGGCCCAGAATGGGAAGATTCGTCGCAAGGTATGTGAAGGCATGTCGAACATGCCAGCGTACAAAGGGAGACCGTTTTGAAACCAAGGGAGAATCGACTCCAGCCGTTGCCAGTACCACAAGTGCCATGGGAATGCATTGGCATGGATCTTATTACCGGCCTTCCAACTACACCGCAGGGTAATGATGCGATTCTGACTTTCATCGACCGGTTGACTAAGCAAGCCCATTTCGTTGCCACTAAGATTTCTATAGACGCACAGGGTGTGGCTGATCTGTACATGCGCAATGTCTATCGCCTACACGGTCTCAGTAAGTCCATTGTGAGCGACCGTGATCCTCGTTTCACTGCCGAGCTTTACCGTGATGTCTTCAAGCAGCTGGGAGTTCGCCTCTACTTTTCAACTGCCAATCACCCGCAGACTGATGGTGCAACGAAACGAGTGCATCGGACAATGGGTCAAATCTTACGTTCAGCAGTTAACCATCGGCAGACTAATTGGGAGGAACTTCTGCCGATGTGCGAGTTTGCTTACAGCAACATGGTTCAAGGATCTACAGGTGATACTCCATTCTATTTAAACTACGGCCAACATCCGTTATCTGCTGCAGACGCCCTTCTCCGGGCGGTGGTTTCAACTTGCCTTGAGGCGCAATCCTGGGTCAATCGCCAGAAGTCAGCACTGCAAGTAGCAAAGGACAGCATCCAGAATGCAATCCGAAGCCGAGAGTTCTACGCCAACCGGTCAAGACAAAACTCGAGGTTCAAGGTGGGGGGTGAAGTGATGGTCCACAGGGACTATAATTATAACCACGTCAGTATCACGAGATCAGCCTTGCGCTAAACTGAGACTACGCTGGTTCGGTCCATTTACAGTCAAGAAGGCATCTGGCTCGACTATGCGGTTGGACCTCCCAAGAACATGTCGTGTCCATCCGGTGTTCAACACAGCTGCACTGAAATTGTTCGTTACTGATGAACTCAATCCTCAGTCACCATCTCCACCACCCATAATTGACCTTGATGGCAATGAGCGTTTCATTGTCGAAGAAGTAGTTTCTCATCGAATTCACCGCGGAATGCAGCAGTACTTGGTAAAATGGAAGAGTTTCGATGAGCCGGCATGGGAGCCTGTAACCTACTTGATGGATGAATCCCGATCACCAATCTTGCCCTTGAGGCAGTATCTTCAGAACTAAATTGAATGGGAGGGGAGTAGTGTGATAGTTCTCACCTTTACCTATCAATTTATTGAATGCATTTCACATCCCTCTCTCATGCAGACAGTGCACACTTCCTTGACACTTCGGTTCTTCTCACATTCTCATTGGTGTTCTCTCTATTACATTGTGATAAAACAAGGCTCTTCTCAGTTGAGAGGGCGTGTTACTTCCAAGCTACTAATGCAATGAATCTATTACACACACACACTTTCTCTCTCTCTCTCTCTTTCATTTTCTCTCTCTCTCCTCAACCATTCTACCTCGCCTTCTCTTGTCTTTGTCGCACTAAATCACCCCCTTTTTTTAGGCTATGTTGCGCAAACTCACGTCAACGCTGAGACCATAGGTCGGTGTTGTGGGCTTGCCTCACCAGCACAGGCTTGCTTTGCAGGCCCTACTCTCCCTGCTGTTTTGTTATTGTATGCTTTGTTGTCTTCTCCCCTTCTGACGAGTAGGTTGTGTACTTATTAAAAAAAAGAAGAAAAAAAGTAAGACAAGTGTATGGTTCGTCCAGGCAGCAACCGAGATTGTGTGCTCCCAGCTAGCCCGTAAATCCTAAGGCTTGAAGATCTCAAACTACAAGTACAAAGCTTTAACTTAATGATAGCTACTTGTGTAATTATCTACCCGAGCCCCACGCCGCACCATAATGGCATACAACTAAAATGAAAACAAGTAACGACTAGCAGCTTCGAGTAGAGTAGCGTACTTTCGTTAGAAGTAGGCAAACAAACAAAAAAGAGGCAAAGTACCGCTGGATCATGGGGCGGAGCGTGTAATGAGGGCGCGCCATGCATGCCAGAGTGTCAACAGCCAACCCAGGCCAGTCAGGATGGATAGCCAAGGAAAAATTTATTAGGCATGTTGAGTCAGACGATGCATTGACCTGAGCTGAGTGAGCGGCTCTGAACTGAAGAAACAGGCCAACATGGCAACAGCTTACTTCAACTTTGTTCAAGCGCCCGCATAAGACACAGCACGTGTGCTAGTAACAGTACTATAAGTATAACCAGATAACCAGCGGCGGATCCAGCGATCTCTAGAGTAGAGGGGGGTTCCAGTTACTGGAACCCCCCGGAATCCAGTATAGTCAAAAGACTCAAAACTGAATGCAAGTACAGTCGTCCCTCTCTAATCCGGCACTTGTTTATCCAGCACCCTTGCAAACCAGCACACTTTCTGGCAAAATGGATTTTTTCAGTTCATTTTCTACGCTTTAATCTGGCACTTGAATTCCGCCTCCAGCAGCGATTTTCTGCAACAAATCACTCAAACTGTACATAATTCGATTTTCTAATCCAGCAGTTGTACATCGCAGACTGTCAGGGACCATTGTAACATACACAACACATGCAACATACACTTGGGAATATCCCATGCCAGTACATAGGATATTCCTAAGTGTATAACTAAGTCTTATAGACATGCATTCCACAAAGTACTTGTTCTCTGTCCACCCTGCACTCACTCGTTGCGCACACATCCGCACACTCACTCATACGTGTACACCACTATTGAACACGTGAACACTGCCAGTGGGGGCCACCACAGCACAAAGACGAGGCAACTGTGCCGACTCTGCACTGGCAAAGCAGTCAACAGTGTGCGGGCCCCACAAACCGTCTATCTCGTCGAATACCTCAGACGACAATTTCCAGTCATCAGTATCCACTACCTTGGATAAAAAATCTGCCAGAACATTCTCCTCCCTTGGAACCCATTGTGGCACAAGTCGAATGCAATTTTGCCTGCAAAACCTGAAAATCCGACATGCAATCTCCTGCAGTTCTGGAACTTTGCTGCCCACCTGCAGAATACGAGCTGCCGCCTGATTATCCGTCCGGTGCCTACATTCCTTGCCTGCCAATTCTTGGACCACCGATTGCAGCACCAACTCGGTAGCCCTCAATTCCCTCCACGTAGAACTCTTCTGAGCCTCTAACACCTCTTCTGGCCAATTCCCTCTTGCAATCGTTTCCCCGCAGGACACCGCAAAACCTCCCCAGGCTACATCGCTAGCATCTGACCACGTGTCTACAACTGCTGTTATCTTGGGATCACCCACAACCAATCTTCCATGAAACTCATTGAAACAATACCACCAGAAGCTCACTTCTGCATAAGCCTCATCAGACCACTCCTGTCTATGAAACCAGCTTCTCCTCCTGAGAATCATGTCATACAATGCCCTGGTTCTCAACCTTGCAACTGGCCCAATGGCGAAAGACATTGAAATGATGAACCCAGCCAGCCTAGCACACTCTTTGGCATTCGGTCTCCTCTTGCTATGCAAAACCCTCAAATGCTCCAAAAACCTCAGAACTCTTGCCTCCGCCACACTTACTCTCCCGTGAACCAGGTCCAACACAAAACCCAGAATGGTAGGCTTCTGAGAAGGCACAAGACACGATTTCTCCACATTGATCTTCCAACCCGCTCTTTCCAACGTTTCCGTGAGCACACCTGCTACCCTCACTGTCTCTTCCACAGTGCCCGCTCCTGCAGAGCCATCGTCAAAGTACATCATGCACTTAATGCCCTGAGCCCTCCAGTAACGAACCATCACACGTACCAGTTTGTTAAAAAGATACGGAGCAGTGGAGAGCCCAAACGGCAATGACTTGAAACAATAAAATTCACCTCCCCATGAGAAACCCTGCTCGCAGTGGTTGGAGGACCGCGGGCTAATGCTGAACCAAAAGAAAACGCAAGCTCTGTTGATTACCCCAAGAGGCCCAGCCCCTGACACAGATAACATTCGAATTCGCTGTGGGAATGCAGCCCTTGCAGTTGTGGAACAAGCGCGGTACCTGGGCGTAATGGTAGATGGGCAGCTCTCCTGGGAGCCTCACGTCAATCACACAATCCAGCAGGTGCGGAAGTCAGTAGGTGCGCTGTGGCGGAGCCGCCGAAGCCTCACCCTGGCGTCAAAGATCCTGTTTTACAGGTCGATGATCCAGGGTAGGTTGTCGTGCGCTTCCAACGCCTTTTATCCGTCACTTCAAATTGGCAACATGGAGCCCCTCACACGTCTAACGAAGTGCGCTATCCGCGGCTTCTTCGGTCTGCCACCGTGGTCGCGCACGAGCCCGATCTTTGAACAGCTCCGCCTCACCACCCTGGAGGACATGTTTAACATTAAGCTCCTCATCTTTGTCCGTCGTTGTCTGTTCTCCCGAGCTAGCTCCCTCTTCACCAGCTTCTTCGTGAGAGTTACTGGTGACCGCACTCGGGGAGCAGCACATCACCTCGTTCGAGTACCATTTTGGCCCGGTCCTGCGGGTCGAGCGACCATGCAGTTCATCGGCGCAGTCCTGTGGAACCAGCTCCCGCCTGATCTCCGTTCCGAGCCCAGCCACCTTCAGTTCTGTGCCCTGCTAAAAGCGCATCATGGCTCCGTTTAAATGCTTTTCGGCTAGTGTGTTTCTGTGGTATAGCGGACTGAAGAATAGTAAACGTGTTTTGCAATATATGTATGAAGCTATTTTGTATATAGTATGTTCCCATTCCGTTTTTGCTTTGGTGTAGCCCTGAGGTTGATTGCTTATTTCTTTCTACCCTTCCTCTCTCCATACTTCTGTCCCCCCCCCCTCTCTCTCATTCCTTCTGTCGTCCACATGTACCAAAGGAGGCGAAATCGCCTGTTTGTGGTGCGACGTTAAATAAACTTCTACAACAACAACAAACCCAAATATTTCCAATGGTCCCTTGCCATATCAACATGGTGATAACCACTCTTCAAATCGAATGTTACAACAAAGTCGTCTTTCTGAAAAAGCTTCACTGCCATCCTGATATCATCCAATTTAAACCTGAATTTTGCCAAACATTCATTCACTTGCCTCAAGTCTAAAATCAGTCTCAGCTTCCTAGCACCTTCCACCACTCCCAGCGGGCTAACACAATTTAACTCAGATTCGTTTACTTTCATCGCACTCCCCCAGTCTACCAGCCCCTTCACTGCCTCATCAACAAATTGTACATGCTTCCAACAGCTTTTCTGATTCCTTAAAAAACCAGACGGAGGGTCTGTCACAAACGGCAACGCATAACCGACCTCCAAAATACTAATAATCCAAGATGAAGCTCCCATCTCCCTCCAAAACGGTACACCGCTTCAATCTCCCATGCATCACAGTTTCACCCTCTGCCCAGATTTCCCCTTCCCCTTCCCCTTCCGCACCACATCCGCTTTCAACCACAACATCTGAATAAGTTTGAACACTCTTTTCATCATCCTCATCCTCATCATCATCATCAACATGCACATCAAACTTATCTTGTTCATCGTGGCTGCTGTTGCTGTTGCATCGGGAATGACCTGGCAGGTGCTGGGCCTGGGGCAGGCTGCGTGCAGTCCCTCTGCACGTGCCCCTTCCCTCCGCACCGCCAACAGGCCAGCTCCTTGAACGGGGCGCCGAATCCGGGTGGCTTCGGTGCGGCCGGCATGGTCTGAGCTCGAGCAGCCGCTCCGAGCCCGACCCCGGCTGGGCGGCCTCCTGGAAAGGGCTTGCCACTGCTCCTCTTCCCCTCCTTGGCCTCCGCCCTGGCCCTCCTCATCCTCCTCATCCTCCGCTCATCGTCCGTATCGGACCCGCATTCCATTTTACCATCATAAATGTTTGCGGCCGACCACCCTTCGGCGTCCGCAAACAGCAATAACTTGACTCGCCGCTGGAGGACGCTCTCACCTTCCTCTATGTTTCTGGCGATGTCCTTCTCGCCTCGACGCTCCGCCTTCTGCCTTGCCTTGGCTAGAGGCTCCAACGCCTTACTTATCACGCAGAACTGCTCCTCGTGAGCCTTGGCCTTCCAACTTCTCTTTCTTGCCGCCGCCATCCTCTCGTCGTGTCTCTCCCTCTTTACCTGCTTACTTTCCTTGCTCCTCTTGCTCTTCTTGCTGTTTCTCCTCTTGCTACTTCTACTCCTGCCACTTCTCCTGCTCCTCTCTGACTCACTCTCACTCTCACTCTCACTCCTATCCTCTCTTTTCCTCTTACGACTAGACTTCTCCAACTTCCTCTCCAACGTCTCCAATCTCGCAGCCATCTCTCTCATCCTCCTACTCTCCTCAACATACCCTTCACTCTCACTACCACTACCACTCGGCGACATACTTCTCGACATTCTTCTCACAAACCAAAACTTTCAAATAATTAAATAATTCACAAACTCTCACTCAACTCTCCGCACAAAGACAAAAGAGGCCGACCCTGCACTCGTCACCTCCTTTTATCCCACACCGTGCTCCCTCGTACCCGTTCCCGGGTGGACAGAGAACACTACTTCTCTGCTAATTCTTATACTGTGACGTCAACCGCAGAGAAGTGACATGTTTGACACAGA